GTCCCATTCAGCACAAGTTATGGCAATGAGTCCTAATTTTGAATCTCTTCTATATCATCATTTCATATCCTATGAATTTATAATGACACCGTTTATATACACTATAATAGACACACTTTTAGAGGCAGGCAGTGGTTTTTCTCCATGTCGAGGACAATGTATTCTATATCCAGCTTCGTTAGCTTTCATACTGTCACAGCTTATGGTCGCTCTGCGGTCTGATTTGTGCATTTTCTATGTGCGTCTGTCAGCACTGCACTCTCTGCAGTACTCACAAGTACATGCTTATTAATAGAAGAGCATATACGAGTGGAGTCATGCAAATGCGTGTGTGTGTTCTAAAAAAAATGCTAATGTGATTTAAAGTCACAATGGAGCAATCAAATACTCACAAAAAAGGGTGAATTGGACAAGTTAACAATACATATCAGACCTGGCGAGTAGGAACAGTGTGAGGAGAGTATTTATATGCATGACTTCTACAACTAAATCTACAGTTTTCAGAAAGGTTTTCAGGAATGTGACATGATTATTACAAATAATTAATTTTGAAGAAACACCATCCTTTAGCTGTTGCCTTTTGAATTAGGTTGGCTCCAAAATTAATGAATTATAGATGTGCATCCAATGATTCTATATCCTGTAAGTCTTGTTTAAAAAAAAAAAACAAACACGAGCGAACATCATCAACTTTTTTATTATTATTATTTTACATAAAGGTTTTAGATCATTTGCAAGCTCAAATGGTCGAGTTTGTTGCTGAATGTTTATCTAAGAGTTGAGTTTATATCTCTGTGCATATTTTGATTTTGTAAACTCTGCACATCACTGATCTTCAGTGAGAATTTATTTTACCAAATCTTTGCTCTCAGATAATAAAAAAGTTTAACTCTAATAATTGTTGTGTTGAGATTTGCACTTTTACCCTGAAAATAACAAAAAATAAATGGATAAATAACAAAAGAACTACATCAGGCTCTGCAGTTTAATTTCAGGATAATTAGAAGATGTTCATGATGCATGAGGCTTCGCAGAGTCCTCATAACACAGAGACCCTAAACTCGAGGGACGAGTACAAACCAGAGCCAATAGTCAGAATGAGGCTGATTTTACCGTTATAATGGTGAGCTCTTTTCCCTGTTGGATGGGAGCCCGGGCTGACAGTCAAACGTCATTACGAGCCAGTGGCCATGCAGTTTGTCACTGTCACGCACGTCTAAATGGAGACTTTGTTTTTTGAGATTTGTAAAGATTTATGACATTCTGGGCACTATTTAAGCAGCGGAGCACAACAGAGTCATTTTGTCTGATGCAAAGCCACTTTGAAAAATGGCAGATTCAGCTGGTTGTGGGACTTGGCAATTTCCTCTGAGCAACAAAAAAAAAAGGGTCCATGAAATGAAACCTATTAGATCCTTTCTTTTTATCATTGTGTGGATCTGACGAACCACAGATCGAGCATGAAATGTTTGCACATTTCAGAAATGAATGGAGACATTCTCATCATCGCTGCTGTGTCCACCTTTGAACTCTATTTTCCAGAAACCGTTTGCATATTTCTGAGAATATTAGAAACTGAGAATCTTGCTGAATTTTTAAACAAATTCAAGGTCAATGATTCCTTTAAGGACAGCATATTGCCTATTGCCTTTCATGCCAGCGTTTTAACCTAACATCATCTTTTGTTGAGAAATAGTGGAGTTGTAGTTGTATTGGTCAAACCTCAAAAATTGTGTTAAGCACAAGCTCATGTTTTATAGCAAGTTTATTGCATGTTTTTTTTCTAAATCTCACTGCCAATTTACATACATCCACATACCAAATTAAATATTTTGTTTTTGATTTTTTTTATATTTAGGGACAAGATTGTCCAATTAAAAGAGTTAACAATATGATGTATTTGAAACAGAATACCATAAGTCTACCTCATACCTGCCAACATTTGTTGACAGCAATGAGGAACACCTGTTCATGTTAATGAGCAGCTGTGGAGTGAGGCAGTTCTAGGGGATTCATGGTATACTCCAGAGGACAACTTTGTAAAAGATCAAAAACAATGTATTTTCTCGACAGTATCATGGTGCGTTCACACCGAACGCGATTTCAGCGTCAGGAGCAGCAGGTTTACATACAAAGTCTATGGTGGACGCGCTTCAAGCAACGTCGGGAAATTCTGCGGCGCCTCAAGCGCGATTAGAGCAGCGCGATTTGAACGNAAAAAAAAAAAAAAAAAAATCCCATTTGGAGATGAGCCAGCCTAATAATTTAGGGAGAGGTTGTTCATTTGGCGTGTGTGGACAAGTCAAAAGTTGTAAAATTGGTTGGATTAATGTGCATCATTCGCACACTAAGACACTAATGTACACAGGTTTAAAAATAGTGTAAAAACCCAGAACCTTCATTCTCCCATTAAACCCCAAACCCATCTCCTTGTCCCACCACTTAGATGAAGCCAGCTCCTGGGATGACCCCTCAGTTTTGTTTGGACCCCTGGCCAGCGAGGCGCCAGGATCTCAAAACACCGGGTCTAGAGCTGAGGATCAGCCAGAGAGGGTGGACTGCATCCAGGCGACTGAAATGTGCAACCAGAACCCCTCCTGCAGCTCTCGGTACCGAGTGATGCGCCAGTGCCTCGTGGGCAAGGAGAAAGAAGCCATGCTGGATAACAACAGAGACTGCCAGGCGGCCCTGGAAGTGCTGCTGGGGAGCCCTCTGTACGACTGCCGCTGCAAGAGGAGCATGAAGAACGAGCTGCAGTGCCTACAGAACTACTGGGCCATCCACATGGGACTCAACGAAGGTAGGAAGCAGATGGTTTCACAGCCTCAGTAAAAAAGAAAAAAGAAAAAAAGATCATTGCATCAGTAATCCCTCTTACAGTCCTGCAGATCCTTTGCAAAACCTCCATACGGCTGAAATAAGTCTCACTTTGTTCACATTTTTGTCTGTAAGCTCATTACGAACAACCAGCGTCCTCTGTGTCGTTTGGCCGTGGCTTTCCCTTCACATCATTATCATCATCGAAATACCAGAATGCACTGCAGAGCTACACATGAGCCTGCTGGTACACATGCACAACAACATACATATATTATCTGTTGCTATAAAGTTAAAAATGTGCACATTTATGCCATGTGCATGTTTTTTATTTTGGCTCTTCGGTTATCAATGTGGCTTTTGAGCAAAGACAAGAAAAAGCACTGATCCTCTGATACCCTAAAGCCTTTGATAAAAAAAATAAATGTTTTGCTATTTTCCACAACCTCAGATACATAATGGGAGTGTAATGGGATTACATCGGGTGGACCTGTTATAATAGACTTATTGGTTTTCACCTAAAGTGTTCCATTTTACCATAATTAGGTTAAAGTCATACAGCACTGCTGGACCTTAGGTGTCCACTTATCCTGGACATAAAGCTGTACTCTTGTTCAAACATCGTAGCATCCTGTTTTCATGGCTCACCCCCAACTCATATCTGTGCATTATCCCACAAACCGCTGTATGGATTTTAATTAAACTTTATGAAAATAATCATTAGATGGACCTATTGAAAAGAAGAAAAAAAGAGTAAGTCCTTTTCTTTGTCCAGAGGACCTAATAAGTTTTTTTTTTCACCTGCACTACTGAGACATGTGGGGACATTGGATTTCTACAGTTGATTAGGTTTTAGAGATAACCTGATTCAAGATGGCTAACACATCTGAGGGACATTGGACAACACAAAAATATGCTTAGTACAAAAAGTAAAGAAATTGGTGTTTGGTAGACTATTTCTCTCTTCTATCAATGCTTCACCTGATTGGCAGCATCTGGGGGTACCAGAAGCTTCAACAAGTGCCAATAACAACAAAATAAGCTGTTTGGCTGAGAAGATTTGACAATTTTTTTTACAAGCGCAACCCACATTCTCAGCTCTACTGCTCATTCCCCAAATGCATGTTCCTTACAAATGTGGCACCATTTGAATTGTTTACAGGCCTTCCAAGGGTATAAGATTCATTGCCAAGAAGCGTTGCTACAACAGAGAAATAATCTACCAAACACCTATTTCTTTACTTTCTCTGCTAAGTGTAGTTAAAACTCAGTCAATTTTACAGATATTAAGCTAAACATTGATGTGGTAGTAGCTGAGAGTCATTCAGTATGCATACTTTAATTATGACATTTCATAATATGACATGAAATTGTTTAGGGTTTGATTAAAACAGCTACAACTCTTAATAAAAGGATCTCATTCAATAAGGCCTTTAATTTATTTTATCTCACACTGCTCTCTTTACTAAAACATGCATCAGTAAAGACTTATGTCACTTTATGTGTATCTTCATGCAGATTAATATGACTGAGTCAGAACTAGCGGAGAGGCGGCACCTTTAGGTCCAGCCTGAAGGTGAAGCATCAAGATAGATCATTCCTGACGAGTGCGCGCGTGTCTCCACTGAGTGATATCATGTGCTGCTGTGTCATTTTCGGATGACATAATCCGCGCAGCTGTTTTGACACGAGTGGTAATGGTGGACATGTTGCAGGGCCTCAGATCGCTCTGGACTTCTGCGCGGCGATCCGTGAGATGATTCACCATGCCGACCGCTCGTAGCACCAGCCACACTTCGATGGGCTGAAGACAGCAGAGGGTCCCTGACATGAGCGTGAGGGGAGGAGACACTCGTGCTCCCATGGCGCTCTTGTCTCTTTGCTTATCTTTCCTCACATTTTCTGAGTCTTGGTAATGATCCCCCCCGCTTCTCATTTCTCCGACGTCAGCAGTCAAAGTTCTCGCGCTTGAATGCGTCATGCTAGTTGTTCGACTGTCACGTTCAGAGGGTTGACATTAAGGCCTTCGTGTGTTCCATTTATTTATTTATTTATTTATTATTTATTTTTTTGAAGAAAAGTCCTCTGCACTGTGCTCTGGTTTGGCCCTGTCAACCTTGGAGATAAAACCCACTTTAACACAAACGAAAAGCTCTTACAGAGCAGCTTTAATCTAATCACGATCCATTGTGCAGTCAAGCAGGCTTTTGTTAACTGGAAACAGTGAACAACATCCATCTCTGGAAACAAACAGAAAAGCCCGAATCCCAGCAGACTCCATGGAAATGGTGCTAAACTACTTTGAAAATCCTTTAGATAAAACAGAAAGGGTCTAATTGAATTGGTGTGTCAGATATCGTAAAATGTGGTTTTCAAAATTTTATTATTAAGGTGGAGAGATGAAGGATTTGAAGGGTGCCTGAGAGAGAAACGTGAAGACGAAGTTGAGACTGAAAGAACTCAAAAGATAAAAAAAAATGAGGCAAAGAAAGGAGATTAGGAGCTTTTTGTCATTTTATTGCTGAGATTTTCATGAATTGAACGACAAAAACATTTAAATACAATTTCACTTTCTAAATTTTGATGCTGTGCAGCAAAAATTTGAAAATAAAATTAAATCTTGGTCAACATCTGATGTATGAATCGTAACTCATGTCAGCTTTTGAGCCAGAGATGCTCTGAAACCCAAAAACTAAACTAAACCATGTTCATGCCTGACTTTGACCTGAAAATTAATGTTCTCAGCTTTAAAACATCTAAATAATAATAATAATAATAATAATAATAATAATGTTCATTTTTTTCTGATGGGTCTTTTTTCTAAATATCTAAATGCCGTTATCATTTCTAACCTTGATGTGTTGCAGCCTCCTCTCTCCAACACCTGAATACTGAACAGAGCTGTAAAGACTCTCGCTATAAAAGAGATAGTAATCACATAAGAAGGATATAATGAATCACAGAAATTGTTCCACGGAAAGCATGTTCCTTCAGTGGAACCCCTGTGCAAGCACAACCACGTGCAAATCAAAGACATATCACAGCGCAGGTCGCGTGGGGTGGTGGTGGTGGGGGGGTCACTATCTCCCATGCTGAGGACTACTGATGCATCCTCCCCTAGCAGGAAAATTACAACATCGTGGAGCTCCTCTGTGGGGTAACATTTATGAGAGAGAGAGAGAGAGAGAGAGAGAGAGAGAGAGAGAGAGAGAGAGAG